CAACGCAAAAACCGCAAAATCCGGTGAAGAAAAACCTCAGAAAGCTGAAGTACCTGATTTATGGTACGTTTTTCGCGACTCTCTTCAAAAAAATTCTAGTGACTCAACTTATTTGTGGAGCTCACCTTCAACCAACGAAGATTCCACCCATTGACTCTGCCTGCAGAAATTTCCCTACGATTATTATTTGTGGTTATGTAGAAGAAGTGAGTGAATTTTTGCAGAGCATACGGTTAAGGTGTCACGCGAGGCGATTGCATCATATGAACATTCCATGAAAATGCCTGTAAATCTCAATTAAAATAATATCCAAACACCACAGTACGCTGAATTGTATCGTTGTATTCTGCGAATGTTATTTGCAGCGATTCGATTTTCTCATTCAATTGGGACTCTGAACGAAAATCACTTGCAGACAGTTGTATAGGTCATAAAATTATCGTAGATGGAACAGCATTGAAAATACTTCTCAGTCCAAATTTCGCATCTGCCGTATTTTTTCACAACAAATCAGACAAAGAAAGCCATTCGAGCTTGAAATTTTTTTTCACCAATCCTACTTCTCCATTGACTATGTAATTAAAACCATGAATCATGTTTATTTATGCATCGAGACAGTTGAATTTTCAACGTCCTATTAAATTCCTGTCAGTTCGAGGCCTTTTGAGGGAATTCACCAGCATATTGTTGAATTATTCAGACAACATTTTAAAGTAAGCCTTTGAAGATGGGAACGACATCGCACGATAAGATTTGCGAGACAAGAGATCCACTTTATAGTTGAAGTGCAATAATATTTTCAGCTTAAGTGAAACTGCTAGTCTTAGTGAGAATCCTCTCCTGAAAGAGGCTAATCATTCAGGGGATATTCTGAAAATATTCGAAGATTCTCTCAGCTTCAACATAAATAACACGAGCATGCAATGACTGATTCATTTTCTTAAAATCTATGAGCTCTCTTCATTCATCGAATCAGCAACTATAATTGTACGAGTTTATGTTTCGTTGTTGTTAATGTTACCATAACTAGCATACTCTTCATTTCCTGAAAATACACTTCGTTTCACACTTTTAGGTTAGAAAATCATTCTTGTTCCTAAAATCCTAATTTCAATCGTTGATCTATCATTGTAAACATATACGCTGATTATATACATAAAACAGAGATTTCAGGGTCGTTGTCTTATATTACAGCTAGAAGTAATCCTTCGAAAATGCAGTCTAGTCATATTAGGGAATAAACGTCCTTTTTTTTTGAAATAAGTATGGAAAACTATGAACAGTAGTAAAGCAGTAATCTTTTTGGAGCAAAAAGTGTATATAATGTAAATAATCAGTGTATATGTATATAATGAGAAGGGATTAGTGTATAATCAGTTGTCACGTAATAAGTCCATAACGATGAATGTGTCAAAAAACATTGAACAACGCAGCGTTGAAAATTCGTCACTAAACAACGCAGTATTTTACATCGATAAATGCAGTCGTTCAGCAACACTTGTTGATAAAACCAATAACAGTAGCAGTAATCATGTGAATACTGACTATCAGCTGATGACAGTCCAATTGTAAATGAGCTTTTTTCGAATGTAACGTTTATTCTTGGAATTGACAACTAATCTTGAATATTTCTATAATATCATAATATTAACTACCGGTAAAACTATAATATTAACTGCTGTTTATCATGTAAATGATGATTCTCAAATGATCAATTCATAGCAATAACTGTAAATTTACAATTCATAAATTTACAATGCCCGTATCTTATGAAGCTTAAAAATTATTTGACTAGAGAGTTTGTTAGGAATGATTAAAAGTGTTAGCGCGTATGTCTAACAACGTCCAGCAGTCGTTTGTGGCTGATCACGTTTTTTGCATGCCTTTGAGGAATTACGAAGAAGCCATCGTTCTAACCAAATTCATGTATCACTCGAAAAGCATGGCTTGCTTAATAGATTACGAATGAATGCGAGCAAGTGACATTCAATCAGTGGAACATTGTTTTTTAGAAACTGCTGAAAAATCTGAAAAGTTCCATATGTATTGCGGTTTTTTGGTGGGGCGGGGGGATCGATTTTATGCTTTACTGGGAATACATTCGAAAGATCTCAAGGATTCTTCGCGTAATCTATCATCTGTTTTATGCCATTCGCTATTTATGCTGCGTTTTTTTTCCGGTTGGTGTATTGCACTATCGTGCAAAACTGAGTGATGAATGTTTTCAAATGATAATCTCCTTATTGTTGACATTTAAGAATTCGGACAATGAGTTGTTTTAAAATATTCAGGTGTCAAGGTCGAACACAGTCCTCTGACGACTTGCTACCAATAAAAGCAGCGCATTTCGTTCGGAACAGTGATCAAGAAATACTACCAGCCTTTATCAGTAACAATCGAGCGATACTGGTATTCAACTCAACAACACTTCATAGTGTTGGCAAATATCGCTGTGAGATCACCACAGAAGATGATCAGCACATCTGGGGATGGCTTTTCGTTAACAGTGAGTTTATTGGGCAGCAAATCTTTGGCTCTTTGGCTCATTATACATTGCAACGCTTTGATTCTCTAATGCGCTGCATGAACTTGATAACAAATCCACCGAATGTTAAGAGTTAGAATTTGAAAAGTGATCGAGATCACTTAGTTTGATTCTGTGAAAATGCATTTCGATACGTGCTTCTGAAAAGTTTTCTTCTCATGTAAATAATGATTCTCAAATGAAAAATTCAAAAACTCAAATGAAAAATTTCTTCTCAATCGGTTGTTTTTGAATCAAAAAATTGGTATGCTTATGGCGCTTTGTGCGAAATCAGTTCATCAGTCATTTTTTCGTTTGCTTTAAGCAAATTGAATGGGTTTTGAAATG